TTTCTAGACGCTTCGCGTATCCCCACCAGTCTATGACGGACACTCGGTCCTTCTTCGTTGCTCTCCCGCGCATTCAGGTGTGCGTTTCTCCCTGGGACTCTGTGACTGTGAGGGACTTGCTGTCTTGGGTATACGACGGTTGCTGTCCTTCGAGCGCTTCCCCACTTGGGTGTGTGGGTCGCCTGGCGCCAGGTCACATAGTTGTTCGGTGCACGTCCATTCCCGAGCGACCTCGCGTTCTCACAGAGTGGCTACCTGTGTACCCCTGCTGCGTCCAGACTAGATCGCTGGTCCTCTGAACGCAGGCGCATCGCTCAGTAGTGGGTCGGGTCTCGCCTTTGCCTGTTCGGCCTTAGGCTTCCCCTTCCGCCGCGGATGCGTTTTCTGATGCTGCGACGGTTCGCTGGCGCTGTCAGAATCCCCCTCCTGCTGGATGACGTCACCAGTTTCAGTCTGCTCATGCCCGTCCGACTCCCTGGACTGACTTTCTCGCACGGAGATCGTGCCCTACCTCGCGGTTGTCTCGACACGATCACGACCAAGAACGCACTGCGCGCCATTTTGGCCGCGCCTGGCTTGCTCCTGGGTGGCTGACCTCTCAGACTCCCTGGGTTGCAGCTTGCACGACCGCCTCAGGTGACTGACCTTTCAGACTCCCTGGGATTGCACGACCGCCTTGCCTCTCAGACGCCCTGGGTTGCCGTCCCCTCGCCGCCTGATCCGCGGCTCCCGCGCGCGCCCGGGAATTTAGTCGCGGCCGCAGCCCGACCGTGACTGCTCGCCGCCGGCGCTTCCGCCTGCGTGTTTTTTGTTGTTGTTGTTGTTGTTGTTGTTGTTGTTGTTGTTGTTGTTGTTGTTGTTGTTGTTGTTGTGGTTGTTGTTGTTGTTGTTTTTTGGCTCATATATATATATATATATGCATATATATATACACATTATCATTATTATTATTATCATCATCATCATTATTATTATTGTTATTATTATTCTTATCATTAGTATTACTATTATTATTATTATTATTATTATTATTATTATTAATATTATATATATATGAAATCTATCCCCACCAGTCCAGTCGTGGCCTGGCCTTCACTAGTTATCTGGCATTGCGCCCCATTGCCTTTTGACACGCCCTCTGGACTTTTCCTTGCGGGCCGCCGAACAAAAACATATCCCCACCAGCGCCGCTCGCAGACCCTGGCCGCCGGCCACCCTGGCAGCCAGCCCATCTTTGCAGCGCGTTGCATGCGCGTTGCAGGCTGACGGCAACTGCAGCTTCCCAGCAGTTGCCGTCAGCCCCCTTCCACTCGCCGGCCTGGCCGCCGAAGTGCCGCGTGAGGCTTCGGCCCACCGTTTTAGGTTAATTCGTTTTGCGCGGACCGCTTTGACTGGACTCGCCGCTGGCGCTCTCGCCTGCGGCCGCTGACTAAGAAGTATCCCACCAGCGGCCCTGCTCTGCTCCGCGCTAGGCAATTAGGCCCCCGCGCGGCCCGTTTGGATCTTACTCGCCGCTGGCGCTCTCGCCTGCGGCTGCTAACCAAAAGTGTCCCCACCAGCCCATCCAGAAACGATGTCCAGGCGAGTTGAGAGGTGATCAGGGAAGCGCGGGAGCAAAGAGGGGGACGGCCGATCCGCGTGAAGCAGAAAAGGGGCGAAGGAGAAAATTAGATGGATGGATGAGGGAGTAGGGAGAAGGAGGATGAAAATGATAAGGAGAATGAGGAGGCGGAGGGGGAGGAGGAGGATGAGAAAGGATAGGAGGAAGGAGGAGGAGGAGAGCAAGCAAAACGGCCAGAGGTCTCTTGGATGCTTCTCGGAGCCTGTGGGGGTATCTCTTGGGCGTCTTGGGACGTCTTCGGGGTCTCTTGGCGGTCGTAGGGGGCTCTTCGGCGTCTTGGGTGCCTCGGGGGGGCCTCTTGGGGCCGCTTGGGGTCCTTTGGGGGGCCTCCTGGGGGCCTCTTGGGGGCCTCTTGGGGCCATCTTGGGGCCATCTTGGGACCTCTTGGGGCCTCCTGGGCGCTTCTTGGGGCCATCTTGGAGGAGATCGGTCAACGAAGGGGGGTTCCTCAAGTACGGTCCCCCCCCCCCAGGAGGCCAAAATGGGGCCAACATCCTAGTAAAACCTACGATTTTTGCTTCCTCGCCGAGGCCGTCTTGGATGCTCTAACTACCCGCGGTCCCCCCGTCCAGGTCCATGGAGAAGGGGGTAGGGGGAGGGGCGAACCCCGTACCCGAAAGGGAAGAAGGAGGGGTGGAAGAGGACACGCCCTAAACCACCTACGCCCAGAGGGCTGATTGGATTCAGTGACCAGATTGTTAGGGTGTTTATTGTCATGGCGTCCACAACCATGGGGGCAGCGGGTCCTGAGGCGCCGCCGCCGCTGCCGCTCTCTCAAGCAGTGGCGAAGCGTCTTGGCTCGCCGATAGGCCTACCAAATAATGTTTAAGAACCTTTTGTGGTTTGCACGACATGTTCTGAGAACATTTTTGGCTGAGACTGTCTTGTTTTAGCACTTCGGGCTCATGTTCTAAGAACACGGTTTTTGCGAATAGCACATTTCTGGGTTCTCAGAACATGTCGTGGTAGGCTTATAGGAATGCCAGGACTGTCGGTCCCTGCTCAACTCTGAGCTGCCATGGGTGTGTGGACGACGATCGAACGAGAGGAAACATGTTGGCAAATAACTTCCACATAGTTAAACCATGTTCTAAACATGTGTCAAACATGCAAACACATGATTAAACTATTGGCCGAACAAGTTTCAAACATGTTAAACACAGGTTTCATTCAATGATCGGATTGTTCTGGTGTCCATTGTCATGGCATCCACAACCATGGGGGCAGCGGGTCCTGAGGGAAACGGGTCCTTTCGGCAACAGATCCTGCCGAGCGCGTTCCACCACTCGCAAAGTGCCTACTCGCAAACGTCAGAAAAACACATGCCTGCTTTGCTGTCATTTATCGTAGATCCCCCGTGGGGGATCCAGGCCATTTGCGAGTAGCTACTTTGCAAGTAGTGGAGCGCGCTTGTCTAAGATCATGGGAGCCTGGTGTAGCCTCTGAATTCCGTCTCTCGCGTCGTTTCGCGTCGAGTAGCGTCTGGGGGTCGATGAGATAGCTCTGATTGAGCGTCGGTTAGCGTCGATTTAGCGTCCATTAGGGTCGATTCGCAAGAGCCGACAAGCTGGTATGAGAGGCTCCCATGAGTTGCCACCTCGCCATGGGGTCAGCGGGTCCTGAGGGAAACGGGTCCTGAGGTGTTCCGCCGTTTCCGGGCTGTCGGGGCCCTCCGCTCAAGCAGTGGCGAAACGCCCCGGCTTGCCTGTAGGTCCACCAACGAATGCTCTAAGAATGTTCTTTGGCTTGCACGAAATGTTATCACAACATTTCTGGCCGATATTGTTTTGTTTTAGTACATGAGGTTTGTGCTCTAAGAACCGTGCTTTTGTTCTTCGAACAGTGTTGTGGTAGGCCTACAGCAATCTGGGACGGCCGATCCCTGCTCAAATGGCGGAATCGGGTCCTGAGGGACGCGGGTCCTGAGGTTTTTCTCCGTGTCGGTGCTCTCGGGGCCCTCCACGGACCCCGAAAGTGTCGGAAAGCGGCCCGGGATGAAGATCGGGTCCTGGGGGAATCCTCGGGACGGGCCCGGGACCCGGCGTTTCCTTGTGTGGCGCCAGCGGGGGAGGCGAAAGTTGAGCGCGCCGCCAGGTCAAAAACTTGCAGAAATTAGGACGAATTGAGAGAAACTCAAAAATCGAAACACATGGAGAGAAAGTGAGGCACATTGAATGATGATTCGGGCCCCGAAGGAGGTTTGGTAATGCTTTGAGCGCCGCTTGGCTTGCAAAAGCGGCGGTTTGTCGCCTCCCCCATTTCCGCCAACACCATGTGGAGATGCATGAGTTAGTGTCGACTAGCGTCTGGTAGTCGATGAGATAGGTCCGATTTAGCGTCGAGGAGCGTCGATTTAGCGTCGGCAAGCGTCGATAAGCGTCGATTCGCAAGAGCTGACAAGATGGTATAGAAAGCTCTCATGAGTTCCCACCGAACAGTGTCGGGCCCTGGGACCCTCACAGATCGATCCGGCTCGAAACGTGCAGGGGTCTGGGGCTGTTTTTTTGCGATGTGGCATCGTTGTTGCAGCGTCGGCCCTCACAGTACAGTCGGGCCGCTGAAGAAGGAACCCATGTGGGGAGGAGTTGAGTGTCCTTTAATTGCTTTACGATTTGTTTTAGGTTGTCCTTCGGACTTCGGTCGGAACGTCGAAGTGTAACTTATGGAAAGAAGGGGCCTCGTTTCTCATGTAGGGTTCCTTTATGACAGCGTTTCAGCTGTAGGCTCGGATGTTTTTGGCTCCGATGGGGCTCTGGCTGCGCTCCGCCTGGGCTTCGACCTGCGCCCCGCATCCCCTGCGTGTGGTCAAGTCGTCCGTCTCCGGAGGTCGATGCACAGAGGTGGCCTCGCCTGCCTCGAGGTGCAGCGGTGCGCCTCTCGCGTGCCGCCGCTCCACTCCGCCGGGGTCTTCGTGGTGGCTGCCCTCGGCTCGCGTGGCCCCTGACGTCGATCTGCAGAGGTGCAGCGTTGTACAGGGAACAGATCCGCTTCCTCCTCCTCCTGCTCCTTCTTCTTCTTCGTCTTCGTCTTCTTCTTCTTCTTCTTCTTCTCTCCCTCCGTGCTTCCCCATCCTGTGTCCCTGGCCAAAAGTGCACGGCCAAGGGTCCGTGGGGCGCGCGCCCCTTAGCAACACAGCACATGCGATATCCAGACAGCGGCCACAATGGCTACCAAAATGGCTACCACACCCATTCAAGCAGGAGCGATCCGGCCGAGGCTCGCTGCGGGCCGTCAGGCCCGCAAAGCTGGCTGCTCGTGTACTGCCCAACCACCTGGGGACCTTCTACCCTTCAAGGAAGCGTAGAGTCTCAGAGTCCTCCTCCTCCCCCTCCTCCCCCTCCTCCGATTGCGCTCCGATGGCGGCCCGAAGCGGTCTCCGATGGCGGGCCGGGTCGGGGCGGCGCTGCCGATCGACGAGGCGTTTCCGGGCGCCGCAGGCGACGACCGCGGCGAGGGTGGTGGGATTTCTGCCCCAATCGCCGAGCGCGTTCCACTACTCGCAAAGAGCTTACCCGCAAACTTCCCCCCCAAACACATGTCTGCTTTGATGTATCCTATCGTAGATCCCCTGTGGCGGATCCAGGCCGTTTGCGAGTAGCTAGTTGGCGAGTGGTGGCACGCGCTCGTCTGCCTGAGGTCAGGGCTGGAAAGGATGCCGAAACTGCAGTCAAGACGCTGAGCTGAGGACCGCTTGGGGCTCAGGCGGGACGCGGGGTCGCGGGCCGTTCCTGAGACTCCAGTCGTGGACCTTGTTCGTGGCCCAGGACCGCCGTGGCCAGAGAAGCCCCCGGGTTCCTTTAGGGGGCCACATGCGAACCCTACCCTCCCCCTCAGAAATCGTGGGGGGTAGGGGTAGGGTTCGCATGTGGCCCCCTATCCTTTCTCTGCGATCCATCTGGTAGCACGATGGCTGTGCCGCAGCTCGTGCTGCAGGGCCCCCGTCGGCACTGCGGCGTCCCGTGGCGTTCTCGTCGGAACTCCCGTCGGGACGCGGCCCGGGAGGGGTCCGGGGAACAGCGGTATGGGTACCTCGGTGCCCCCCCCCACTAGCCAGCTTGTTCGTAAAGGGCCTGCAGGTCTTGCTCTTTTGGCACCCGGGAGGGGGATGCCAGGCTCCCGGAATCTGTGGCCCCTCGTGGTCCCCCCCCCCGTCGCGAACAGGTCAAAGTTGTGCGGGGTCTCCTGCCGCAAGGGTGTCATACAGATCCACCGCCCTCGGAGGCGGTCTCCCCGAGCGTGGGGAGGCGGTGGGCACGGATGCGTTCGGGTCTCCTGCAGGCCCAAGGGTGTTGGTTGGTCCTCGGCTTACGCCTCTCCGCCTACCCCTTGGGAGCCTGGGGGCCCCTCTTTCTGTGGGCGTTGTCGTAGAAGCGTCTCTGCACCGTGCGCACACCTGGGACACCCAGCACCCTGCTAAAAATGGTTCCCTCTTGGGTCGCTTTGTGACCTTTTTGGGGAGCCCTTTTGGGGCCTCGTGGGGCTTCTTGGGAGAAGCGTCTCTGCACCGTGCGCGCACACCTGGGACACCTAGCACCCTGCTAAAAATGGTTCCCTCTGGGGTCGCTTTGTGACCTTTTTGGGGAGCCCTTTTGGGGCCTCGTGGGGCTTCTTGGGGCTCTCTTGGGGGCCTTTTGAGGGGCTCCTGGGGCTCTCTTGGGGCCCTCTTGGGGGCATCATGTGGGTCTTCGGTGCCATGTTGACTCATTCCTCCTCCTCCTCCTCCTCCTCACCTGTACTCACCCTTCCTCCTCGTCTTCCTCTTTCTCCTCCTCGTCTTCCTCCTCTTCCTCCTCCTCCTCCTCTTCCTCCTCCTCCTCAATCCTCCTCCGCCTGGTCCTCCTCCTCGTCTTCCTCCTGCTCCTCCTCCTCCTCCTCCTCCTTCTTCTCCTCCTCCTCCTCCTCAATCCTCCTCCCCCTGGTCCTCCTCCTCGTCTTCCTCCTGCTGCTGCTCCTCCTCCTTTCCTTCTCCTCCTCAATCCTGCTCCCTTCCCCCATACTCGCGCGGCGCCCGAGGAAGGTTCGCCTCCGTGGAAGAGACCGCTGGCGCCAGGCGCGGCGCGCTGCCGCCTGCGGGTGGCCTACGACGGCACGCAGTACAGCGGGCGGGCGAGCGCCAGGGAGGGGGAGCAGAGGACCCCCCCCCGCGTTGTGAGGGGGAGCAGAGGACCCTCCACCCGCGCTGTGAACAAAAACACGACTGGAGGTTTTTGGCTATTTTCAGCCTCTGGGGGGCCTCACCATTCCCCGGGACCGTCTAAGAAACAACCAGGGACGGAAGACCGCTCCCTGGGAAGGGGTCCAGGCCTCTGGGGGTCGACGTTGCGCAACAATTGCGGCGTCGGGAGTCGGGGATGGGTCACCGCCGAGCTTGGCCGCGCGGCCTTGCCGGCGGCACACGGGGAGCACCAGCGCCTGTCCGTGAGCCCGGACGTACCAGTCTGAGACGCATATCCCTCCACCCCCTCGCGCTGGGACAAAAATCACGAGGGGAGTTATGTCTTTATAGAGGCCATCGCTGGGCCTCGGGGCCGTCAGAAAATTGCTCAAGATGTCAAGCGGGTCCCAGGCAAGGGGTCGAGACCTTTGCGGGTCGACGTTGTGAGAAAAAATCAAGGCGTCAGGGGTCTGGGTCCCCCGCGCCCCTTGGAATTCTTAAGGTACTCTGTGTGCTACGATGTCACCGGGGGACCGTTTCCCCGCAGTGGATTGGCCATCGAGCCTCCTCTGCTCGTGCACGGCCTCTCGCTTGCTTTTGCGCGAGCTCGCTCTGCACGGTCCTTCTCGCACGTTCGGCCCTGCACCTTCCCAGTGAGGATGGGAGGGATGGAGGGTGAATGTGGAAGTGAGCATGGGGAGGGGGAGGGGGAGGGGGAGGGGAAGGGGGAGGGGCGGGGGTGAGTGGGATAGGGATGTTGGGTAGGATGGGTCTGCTGATGATGATGATGATGATGATGATGATGATGTTGTTGATGATGATGATGATGCTGATGATGATGATGATGATGATGGTGGTGGTGGTGGTTGTGATGATGACGCTGATGATGCTGATGATGATCATGATGATGCTGTTGGTGGTGATGATGATGCTGATGATGATACTGCTGGTGATGGTGAAGATGATGCTGATGCTGATGCTGCTGCTGATGATGATTATGATGATGATGATGCTGCTCATGATGATAATGCTAAGACTGGTGCTGATGACGATGATGATTATGCTGCTGCTGATGAAGTCATGATGTTGTTGTTGATGATGATGAGGATGCTGATGATGATGCTACTGATGATGATGATGATGATGATGATGATGATGATGATGATGCGATGATGCTGATGCTGATGATGATGATGATGCTGATGCTGATGATGATGCTGCTGATGACGATGTCAATGACGATGATGACGATGCTGCTGGTGCTGCTGATGATGCTGCTGGTGCTGCTGATGATGCTGCTGCTGATGATGACGCTGCTGCTGATGATGCTGCTGCTGCTGGTGATGAGGATGCTGACGATGGCGATGCTGATGATGGTGATGATGATGCTGATGATGATGCTGATGCTGATGCTGATACTGATGATAATGATGATCATGATCATGATCATGATCATGATGCTGATGATGATGATGATGATGATGTTGTTGCTGATGATGATGATGATGCTGCTGCTGCTGATGATGATGATGATGACGATGCCCATGATCATGATGATGATCATGATGCTGATGATGCTGATGATGATGATGCTGATGCTTATGCTGATGCTGAATCTGATGAGGTGATGAGAATAGTTATTGCTCATATTGTTTTGTGTTCATACACCAGGCCGATGTTCTAAGAACATTGTTTTTGCGTTGTTTTTTTTTGGGGGGGGGGGGGGGTCTATGAACATGTTGTGGTTGGCCTATATGAATGCCGCGACGGTCGGTCCCTGCTCAAGAACTACCCTGCCAGGTCACCTTTGGCCCTAAAACAGCTTGGGTCGTGTCTCCGCAGGATGTTCGTCGCGGCGCGAGGCGACGGGGGAAGGTACAAGAGGCCAGGGTGGTGGTCGGCCTTGTGCCAAACCGTCCCCCGCAGGTGGATGCGACTGGCCGGTCGGCCGCTGGCGGTGGCGGGCTTGCTGGACAGAGCGCTGTCGCTGGCAGGCGATAAGCTTCCATTGCAATTGCATTCGGCCTTGGAGGAAGTAACTGCAGACGTGGAGCTCGTGGGAACGGAGTGTGCTGGAACAGGGCTGAGGGAGGACATGGGTGCTGACGAGCATGACGGCGAGGAAGAAGTGAGGAGGAGGAGGAGCAGGAGGCGAAGCAGGAGGAGAACGATGTGGGATAAGAGGGGGGGCAGGACGGGAAAGCGGGATGCAGAGGACGAGGAGGGTCCTGCGCCACCAGACGGCCTCCAGCGGCCGCCCGCGCCACGGGACGAGCCCGCGAGCTTGGTACCTGCTGCCCCGCCTCAGGGCCCGGGCGGGCAACAACACCCGCACGGTACCGCACGACACTTGGCGAGTTCCAGGCCCCTCCTGTGGTGGGCTTGTTTTCCACCACCACCACCATAAGTTGGAGGGGGGAAGGAGGAGGAGGAGGGGGGAAGGAGGAGGAGGAGGAGGAGGAGGAGGAGGAGGAGGAGGAGGAGGACCCCCTCCCCCTCTAACTTATGGTGGTAGAGGCGGAAAACAGGCCCATCACCTCCTGGGGCCAACGGCCAGCGCGTGAGCTTCCCCACCCCGCCGCCCGTGCGGGCACGCGGCGTGTGAGGCTGCTGCCGCGACGCCCTGAGTGGCCGGAGCCACAAAGGTGCCGCCGCGAGCTAAATCCTACAACCCTCAGGCCCTGGCGTGTGCTCATGGGCCTTGAGGAGAGGAGGCCGAGGAGGAACAGGAGGAAGAATTCTAGACGCTTCGCGTATCCCCACCAGCTTTCGCCCTTCCACCCGCTGGGTCTGGGCTGAAGCATCTCGGTGTGGCAGTTTCTTGGCAACATGCTTCACACTTTGGATGCCGTTCTGGCGTCGCTGCTCGTTGCCGCCGTCGGGATCCTGCTGGACTTACGTCTCCAGTCGGTCTGTGCTACCCGTCAGGCTTTGGATCTACGTCCTCGGGAACGTTCCTCTCGTTCGCACCTGGACTTTGGGAACGCCTCTCGCGCCATTTTGGCTGCGCTTGGTCTCCTCGGTGCCTACCTCAGGCCCGTTGGACGCACCGCTGCATGCCCGTTCAGGGGCCGTCTCTGGCTTCTGGATTGCATCGGCTCCGCCGCCCTGGACGCTGTAGTGAGCCGCCTGATCCGCGGCCCCGCGCGCGTTTGGTAATTTAGTCGCGGCCGCGGCCCGCCCGCGACCTCCCGCCGCTGGCGCTCCCGCCTGCGGCTGTAAAAAAAGAAAATCCCCACCAGCCCGTCCAGAAACGACGCCCAGGCGAGTAGAGGGTCGTCCTGAGGGGCTTTTCGGCGTCTTGGGTGCGGGGCCTCTTTGGGCCGTTTGGGATCCTCTTGGGGGCCTCCTGGGGGCCTCTTGGGGCCATCTTGGGGCCATCTTGGGGCCTCTTGGTGCATCCTGGGCGCTTCTTGGGGCCATCTTGGAGGAAATCGATCAAAGAAGAGGGGAGCTTCAATTAGTGCTGCCCCCTCTGGGGGGCTAAAATGGGGCCAAAACCTTGGTAAAATCAATGATTTTGGCTTCCTCGGCGAGGCCGTTTTGGACGCTCTGACCGCTCCCCGCCCCCCCTGTCCAGGTCAGTGGGGAGGGGGTAGGGGGAGGGGTAAACCCCTCCCCGAAGGGGAAGAAGGAGGAGTGGAAGAGGAAACGCTCCAAACCACCGACGCCCAGAGGGCTGGTGGGACTCGTGGCAGGGGGGTCAGATGCCCATCTGCTCGCGCGGCTTGGAAAGGCTAGGGTCAGATTCGGACCGGCCTGGCAAAGGCGGGTTGCGCCGCGTGCTTGTTCTCTTGGTCCGCTTGCCGTGCTCGTAGGTCCCTGCTGGGAGCGCTGCAGCAGTGCAGGCGCCTGGCGTGCGTTCCTGATGCTGCCCCGTCCTCGAATGCACAGATGGACAAGTTGCTCGCTGGAGAGACGAGGTCACCAGGTCTCCTTGGCCTGCCGCAGGTTCCGGACCTGTGGGGCGCCAAAGACAGGTGTGATGCAGCACATGGTCCTTCCAAATCCGTTCGCCTCGGAGAGTGTTTGAATGTCCGGCGTCTAGTCGGGTCCAAAAATATGTTTTTTGTTTGGTGGCCAATGGCGGGCCAAACACAGTGTACACGTTTGTTTCGACACCTGTCGCTTTAAAGTACTGGCTGGAGCATTATACACGATGTGGTTTTCGTTGATGTTTCCGATCGCAAACGGCACATACACCTTAGTATGAATGTGTATGTTTGTTTGTATATATGCATGCATGTATGTATGTATGTATGTATGTATGTATGCATGCATGCATGCATGCATGCATGCATGCATGCATGCATGCATGTATGTATGTATGTATGTATGTATGTATGTATGTATGTATGTATGTATGTATGTATGTATGTATGTAGGCATGTATGCATACATGCATGTATGTGTATATGCATGTATGCCGGTATAAACATATGTTACTACGCATACATGCACGTATGCATGTATGTATGCGTGTATGCCTGGGTGTTTGCATGCTATGTAGATATGAAGATATGTGTATGTGGATTCAGGTATGACTGTATGCACGCATGTTGCACGTGTGTATGTATGCATGCATGCATGCAGGTATGTATGTATGTATGTTTGTGTGATGTGTGCATGTATGTATGGATGTCGGTATGTAGGTAGGTAGGTAGGTCGGCATGTATGCCTGTCTGTCTGTCTGTCTGTATGTATGTGTGTGCATGCATGTATGTATGGATGCATGTCTGTATGTATGCATGTATGTATGTAGTAGGTATGCATGTATGCCTGTATGTATGTATGCGTACATGCTTGTATGCATGCGTGTATGTATGTATGCAGGCAAGTATGCGCGTATGTATGCCGATATGTCTGTCTTGTTATATGTATGTATATAGTCATGTGTTCATGCATGTACGCATGCAGACATGTCTACATGTATGGCTGTATCCGTGTATGCGCGTGCGTTAAGTATGTCTGTATGTGTGTATACAGTCATGTGTGCACGTATCTTCGTATGAATGCATTACGTATGTATGTACGTACGTATATATATGTATATAGGTATGTATGTTTGACTGTATGTAATGCATGTATGTATGCATGCATATCTGCATGTATGCGATCTGCCCTCCACCCGTGTAAATGTTGAAGATGCTTCCAGCTTCACGTCTGTCCAAAACGATGCCCGTTGGTCGTTGAAAGTGGGTCTTGTTGGATGCCCGAGTCCCAATCTACTTTATTTAAGGTGCCTTCCTACCTTACGAGTCGAGTGGTGTTCCCTTTTCCCTCCTCTTCAGGGGGCAGGTGGAAGCCCAATTTACTCTCACTGCCTTCCCACCTTGTGTTTCTGCCCACTTATTCTGGCTGGCGGGCAACAGTGTTTTGAATGTTGTTTGCGGTTTGCCTGCCTGTTTGATGGGAGCGGTCTTGCTTGCGGTCTTATTGTGTGAGAGAAGTGACCTGGCGAACCACCCTGGCTGCCTGGAACCACGTCTCTCGGTGCGACTCAGAAGAGTGTGTTCACAGGGGGAGGAAAGGAGAAGCTGAGAGCCGCGGGCGCATGAAGAGGCGCAGCAGGAGGCGGCGGAGGAGGAGGAGGAGGAGGAGGAAGAAGAACGGCAGTGGAGAGAGGACGGATGATGAAGAAGAGGACAGAAGGGGAGTCGCACGAGAATGAAGAAGAGAGGCCGGGCATGTCCGAACTGAAAGAATGGGGAGGCGGAGGGGGAGGGAGGGGAGGAGGAGGGGGAGGAGGAGGAGGAGGAGGACGAGGAGGAGAGGGCATCTTCGAGGACAAGTGGGGGAAAAGAGGTGGCGACAGGGGGGACGTGGGGGGGGCGCGGAGCGTGGGCGAGGAGCGGAGGAGGGGCGAGGAGCGACGCCGCGGGAGGGAGGGCAGCGCAGGAGGGCGCGCGCTCACAGCCGACGCAGTCGCCCGGGCACCTGCAAGCTTCGCACTCCCAAACTCTGCACGCACGAGATGGGCACGGAAAGAATGGGTACAATGCCAAACAGCGGATCTTGTTCATTTTGAACAGGGCTCGCTGTCCACGCCGCCGCGGCCTGTGTCCATTCGAGGCAGGAGGCCGCCTGCCCAACAGTGGCCGCTGTTGGGTTGGGACAGCATTTGCTGTCGGGCATTGTACCCATTTTTTCGGTACCCATTTCGGGCGTCCTAACATACTGCTCAAGCTCGGCGTCGGGCATACTTGATCCGGTGCGAGATGTCCTCGAGGATAAGAGAAGAGAACCCCTAGCCTTGCGGAAACAATGGGGAGGCGGGAGGCAGATTGCCACATGATTCCCAGATGTCTAAAGCATGCTTGACATATGTGGCTACAGTGTCAACGCATGGCTTAAACATGGTTCGAACATGTTTAAAACATGTCGAAACAGTTTAAAACATGTCGAAACGGTTAGAGTGTCCACTGTCATGGCATCCACAATCCCAGCCCTAACCACATACTAAAGACTTGGCCTCACTGGGGTCCTCGTCTTGGCATCAGGGATACATGAATCTGGGCAGCCTGGCTTGATACATCTGCAGAAAAGACCCCATATCCCCAATGTTCCCTTCCAAAGGGTTAGGGGTCTTGTTTGGTTAAGCAGAGATGGGTACCACTTTTTCACAGAGAATGGGTGTGGTGGGTTCGCGCCGTCTCTACGAGGGGGCGCTCAAGTTGGAGTGCCCCGACGGCCTCCATGTGCCCCTCTGGCAGTTGGCGTCGCTCGTCAAGGCAAGTTCCACGCTGACAGGGTGGGAAAATCCCAGGGGAGTTGCCTCGCTTCGAGTGTCCCGGCGATGCGTGCCGATGACCGCGCGTGGCGAGGGATGAGGAGGGGGGGAGGAGGGTGAGGAGGAGGGGGAGGAGGAAGGGGGAGGACGATGACGAGGACGAGGACGAGGGGGGAGGCCGGTGAAGAGGTGTGAGGAGGAGCAGGAGGCCCAGAAGGAGGCGCTGGATGAGGAGCAGGTCCAGGGGGAGCCGCCTCCCACGAACTGCCCGCCGACGCGCCAGTGGGCTGCGACGTGTCCGTGCAGGGCGCGAGCCGCACCGACGCGGGCGTGCACGCGCGAGGGCAGGCGGCTCCGTCGCGCGTCGCCGCCGTCGCCGCCGCCGTCGCTGTGGTGGTCGTCGACGTCCTCTTTGACCTCGGTGGTAGGGCAGGAATTCGGACTCGGGAATATGTCCATCACCACCACCTGGAGGATCGATCTCTGGGAACCTCGGCAAGCAGTGGATATGGATATAGTCAGGCCCTCTGGGGCCCAACTATTTTTGTTGCCGAGGGGTAATCTATGAGTTTCCCAATTGAACATCGAGGAGAATGTGTACACTATAGGGTGGAATATGCCGACGGGGCGTGCCCAATCCTCTTGCCGGTTGCCGTGAGCGCTGTACCGCTGGCAAGGGGGTGGCTGTGACCCTCCTGGCGATGGATTCGGTAGCAAATCATGGGAGCTTGGTACACCCTGTTAGTTCCGTCTTTAGCGTCTACTAGCGTCGATTAGCGTCTGGGAGTCGATGGGATAGCCCGATTCAGCGTCGATTAGCGTCGATTAGCGCCGATTTGGCGTCGATTAGCGTCGATTCAGCGTCGACTAACGTCGAGTCGCAAGGGCCGACAAGATGGCATGGGGGGCTCCCGCGAGTTGCCACCGCAGACTGGTTACAGCTAGCTGTCGGGTCTGGGCGTCCAGCCTCTGGGGCCCAACTATATCCATGTCCACCGCCCCCCAGGGTCCCAGGACATCGCGTCCTCAGGCGGTGGATGTTGGTACCCCCCCCACCGTCTCGCATGAGTGTTGCGGGGAAGCTGGAAGAGTTGCTGGGGCCAGCCCTTCCACCCTCTCCAGCCCTGGCCAGGTTCCTGCCAGTTTTGTTTCTAGCCCCTGCGACGTCATCCCAGCTGTTCTGGGCTCGCTTCAGCCCCTGGGTTTCGTTTCCAGCTCCAGCCACTTCCGCGTTCACTCAGCTTACAGCTTCCGGTTTCCACAGCTCCGCTGCACACTCAAGCCGTAGCAGCATTGGGGTGAGCCGTTTTGTGAGGGTCTGGTCCAGTTCCCAGGCTTCGATGCACTCTGTGTGCCTCCCTGCTTCAAGCCAGCCGTGCCGTTTCCTCTTCCTTCCGTTTCAGGGGGCGGGAGGCGCTCGCTCTTTTGGTCAGCAATTCTCTGTGCCATTATTTTCAAGTTGGGCATGTCCCTCTACAGGAGGAATAGTCAAGCATAGTAAACAACATAGTCTGGGGACGATGGTTTGCCCTTTTTTCAAGTATTTCATTGTTTCTGAGGGTATTTTTTCATTTTTTTCCACAATCCGCCTGTAGGAGGACATGCCCGGCCTAACACTATTTCGCCTACTTCTTCCAAGCGTTCATGCCCTCACATCCTCACCTCCTCGGCCCAACCTCAGTCACGGAGTCCCAGCTTCGGCCTTGCGTTTGGCGTCCAAGGGCTTTGCATCCTCATCGCGCGTCCACATGATGCGGTCGCGCTGTATCGGAGACGCCTACGGCGAACCACCGCCGCCCCTTGCTTTTTAGCAGCGCCTATGTGGCCGAACGTTGCGGCCAGAGCTCGGTCAAGTTACCGTACTATGTGTTCCTCCAGCCGTTGTGGCAACCCTTCGGGGAACGAGTTGAGACAGGAGAAGAGGAGGAGAGAGAGGAACGAGGAGGAGGAGAAGGAGGAGGAGGAGGAGGCTGAGGAGGAGACCTCTTGGAAGCCTCTTGGGGCACTCTTGGGGCCTCCTGTGAGCTTCCTGGGGGCCTCTTGGAGGCCTCTTGGGGGCGTCTCGGGCCTCCTGGGGGCCTTTGGGACTCCTTGGGAGGCTTTTTGACCGTCTGAGTGCGCACCTGACCCATCAGAAGCCGTCGGAAGCCGTCTTGGAAGCTTCTCTTGGCCGACTTGGGGCCCTCTTTGGGTGCTTAAGGGCTGTCTTGGTGGCCATATTGGGCGTCTTGGAGGTCTCATGGGCAGTCTTGGGGCCCTCTTGGGGCCGTCTCGGGGCCTCTTGGGCCGTCATGGGGCCATTTCGGATGCCTCTTGGGCACTCTTGGGCCATCTTCGTGGCATCTGGAGCCGTCTTGGGCTTCATAACGTCGAAGATGGGCAACCGCCCGCATCCTTCAAGCACTGGAGGAACAACAATGGTCTGGGTCTCTTTGAGCCTTCCTGGAGGCACCCTTGGAGGCCTTTTGGGCCGTTTTGGAGGCCTCTTCGGCCGTCTTGGGCGATCTAGAGGCAATATTTGGTGCATCTCGGCCCGTCATGGAGACATCTTTGAGCATTATTGGGCGCTCTTGGGGCCATCGTAGCCGTTTTGGGAATCATGTTGGCCGTCTTGGATGCCGTCTTGGGGCGTTCTTGAGCTGGAAGACCGATGGCCTGGGAAGTTTACGGGCCCTTATGGGGATAGAGAGCCGACGGGAGAGACTTTGTATGAGTCCTTCCAGGTTGCCAGGGCGCTCTGCCGACGGCCCATTGGGAACCTTTAGAAAGCACGCGGCGCACCCCTGTGGCAAGCCACAGGGGGCGGCGGATCTAGTGGCCTTCGGCCCATCCCGCAACCGTGTCTGGGTCGTGGGCCCCAGGCCTCTTGGAGGTATCCTGGGGTCTCCTGGTGGACCTCTCGGGGGCCTCTCTTGGAGGCCAGCGGGGGCGTCTTGGGGGCCTCGTGTGGGCCTCTGAGGCTCGGCGGTCTCGGATGCCACCCTGGCACACTAGAGCCTGCAGCAGAGCTGCCCGCTCCTTTCCCCTTCCCGGGCCGAGCGCATGGGCATACCGTTTTCGGTCCAGTAGGTATCGGCCGCCAGAACAGCCACGCAAGACCAAACATGAGATCCGTGTGAGTTGCGGGTCGTCTTCTTGGTCATTGCTTTGCCGATCGGCGCGGGCCGTTGCACCCCCCCTCCCACACCCCCAGTAGAGTGGATCCTGACTGCTTTTGGCGCCTGTTTCGAGCAGGTGGAGTCTCCTCCCTAGGACGCACTGTTTAAAACAGTCGCATTAAGCAGAGGTCCGGAGCCTCCCCCCTCCCTCTCTTCCGCCCAATGTCGAAATGCCGAAGAAGAAAGCGCTCACTTGGGGGTCTTTGTCCCGATCGCATCACGGTGCTCGATGCAGAGAGGCCGAAGGGGCGCTGGGGCACCCCCCCTCTGTGCGTCTTCGGCGCTGTGCGTCTTCGGCGCGGTGGCGCAGTCGTGGTGAGCTCTTGACGCTGAAGTAAGAGCCGCGTCGGGTTTCTCGGTGCACTAGACAAGGGCTCCTTCTTCCAGCATCTCTGCACGCGCCTCCCGCGACCACTTCTACGCCCGCGCGGAGCTGATGGCGCTCTTCGACCAGCGCCCGCAGTGGGCGCCAGCGGCGCGGGCAGCAACAGCAGGAGGACCGCCTCGCCCAGACCGCAGCCGCCAACCGCGACGCCCGCTCGAAGGAGCACCCGCTGGGCCGGCAGGAGGCGCGGCGCCCAACAAGCGCAGGTGGTGGACCTCACGGCGCGCTTAGCGCAAACTTGGGCCAGGGAGCAGGCAGAGCTAACGGCGGCGGTGATGCAGACGTGGGAGGTCGACACCAGGAGCGGCATCGCCAAGGCAGTGCTGGCAGCAGAACGAGCGTACAACGAGCAGGCACAGGAACTACGACGCCGCGCGGGCACGGGCGAGCAGGTGGACACGGCATCGTTGGGCAGCCCGCGCATCCGCGTCTGGACGGAGGTAGCGAACTACATAGGACGGGCCCTCGACGAATGGCCAGAACGCGAGCACCTGGATAAGTATTACCAGGACACCATTTTATCTTGCAGCGCGGAGGCGGTGGCGGACGGCATTCCAGTTTTCAGGGTGTGCAAGAACAAGGGCAAAGAGGAGCTCAGGAGCGATGCCATTTCCAGTTCTCGGTCAAGACCGCGCTGCACACCAGATCGAGACGATCCTCGTGCGCCAATTGCGCAAGGAGGGAGCCATTCGCAAGACGGGATCGGCACCGAGGGGAGGGCTGGAGCGCGAGCTGAGCCGCCTGATCAACGGCCAGTAGCAGAGGTACGATACACAGCTCAGGGCGCCGTTCACCGTGAGACGCCTCAGGCAATTTGCCGCAGTGAGCGCGTGGCCGACGGCCACGAGAAAACATATCATTTCTGTCCAGTCTCGAGGGCCATGCAGCCCGTGCGATCCCGCAGGCCTTCGAAACTAGTGAGTATTTCAGAATGCTAGTCAGGGAAGGCCGCCGTCGACCGAGACTCCCGACCTCTACCAACTCCGAGGCCAGAGCTTCCCTGAGTATTATGTAGTGCGCCGACCTCCCCCCCCCGAACCGAAAAGAAAAGGTAGCGGGTGCTACCCTGCCCGCGACCCCCTGCGTGCGGGAGGTCGGTGCGTCGATTGGCGCCTGCGACCCCCTTTCAGCAAAGGCATCACAGCTAGGCCACCAGATTTTGTAAAGCAGCGCAGAGCCCAGAGCGTAGTCCCGAACCGGCCCGAGAGCTCGATCGATCCATCGATCCTCCTGCCCCTCCTCCCCCTCCTCCTCCTCCTCCTCCTCCTACTCCTCCTCCTCCTCCTCCTCCTCCTCCTCCTCTTCCTCCTTGTCCTCCTCCTCGTCCTCCTCCTCCTCCTCGTCCTCCTCCTCCTCCTCCTCCTCCTCCTCCTCCTCCCTCTTCCTGCTCTTCCCCTCGTCCTCCTCCTGTCCTGCTCCCCCCCCTCCTGCTCCTCCTCCGCGGCAGGGCGTCCCTGGCGGGACACTGCGCCGCCCCAGTGTGCAAGAGGTGCTTCGAGGGGCACCATCCCACGGGCAACAAGCAGTGGCATGAGCATAAGTCCTCGGAGTTCCGCGCGGGTTCCTCGGATCGGCGCTGGGGCCCCCTGGCGGCGCCTTTGGCGCCGCCCCTTGCGCGCTCCGCGCGCCAGGAAGGGGGGGGGCCAGCGCAGATCCGAGGAACCCGCGCGGACCCCATGGTTTTTCAGGTTCATGCCGCTGCTTGCCCCCTACCCCTCTTCCCCCCTCCAGCCCTGTCCTTTTTCTGTCGTCTCGTGCCTCAGTTCGCTCCCAGTGCGCCCCACCGCTGGCTGACCGGCACCTGACCGTCTTGGACCGCCTGGCGCCCGCGTGCCTCAGGCAGTCTGTTCCCTCACCCCACCTCGTGCGGCCCGCGCTCTCGCCCAGTTCGCCCCGCCCCCCGGGGCCTCGCCTCGCCGCCCCCCCTCGTGGGCGGTGCGCCGCCTCGCGGTGTTGGCCGTGCCCCGGCCGCTCTCCCCAGAGGCCTCGAAGGGCAACGTTCAGAGTGGGGTGGGGGGGGCCGGCCGGGCTCGGGGGGCTGGCCTCCCATGTTTCGAGGTCCGAGGTTTGGCCTCGATGCGTCGAGGCTTGTCGGGGGCGAGCGAGGGGGGAAGCGAGAGGGAGAAAGCCACCTCAGAAGGCGGCGGGGCTTCTCAGAAGCCTTCCGGCTTTTGTTTTAAGCGTTTTCGGGGAAGGCCTGGAAATTTCTCGGAGGGCCGCGGGGCTTCCGAGCCGTGTGAGGATGCCCTCCCCTTCTCGGTTCCCTCCCCCAGGCTCGCCATCGAGTTTCGTGCGATATCCTCGGTTCTCGGCGGTTCACCAGCCCCGGCCTGCTCTCCAGCAGATGCGCTTCGCCGAGAGCGTTCCGGCGGTGTCCAGATCGTCCCGAACCGTCGCCGGACCGCTGAGTCTTGACTCGAAAACCAGGGGGGCAGCGTTTGTCGAGCAGTGGCGAAGCGTCCTGGCTCACCTCTGGTTGAGAGTGCCATGTTGTCGGGACCTTCGGTTGTTTAGAATATGTTCCAATCAACTTTTGTGGTCTGTATCTTCGGGGTTCTAAGAACATGTCGTGATAGACCTATACAGGAATGCCAGGACGGTCGGTCCCTGCTCAAGTTAATTAGGGGGGCAGGATCAGGGGCCACAGGAGGAATACTCAACAATAATAGCAAAATCGTCAGGGGACGATTTCGTCTACTTTTGTTTCTTTGAACATTGTGGGATTCTTTTCTACCTGTCTTCCAACATCCGCCTGTAGGAGGACACGTCCGACTTACACAGCGTTCAGTTGGACATGTCCCTCTACAGCCGGAGTGATCAAACATAATTCGTCTCTGGACGATGTCTATTTCTGACTATGTTTGACTATCGTTCTGATTTGTTTTCATCTGTCTTCCACAATCCGCATGTAGGAGGACATTCGCGACCCGAGGACAGCGCCCCGTGGCCTCCATCCTCGGAGCTCGACCCCTCCCCTCGTCGCTCCCTCGGGCGGCTTGCTCCGCTTCCGGCCCCCCGCCGCCCCCGCCCTGGCAGAGCGCGGCGGCAGGCCGCGCATTTCGACCTGCCCGGCGAGGTCGCCTCCGCGCGGCCGCCCGACTGGCAGCGGCGGTGGGAGGCGGGCTGCCCCCCCCCCCCCCCCCCCCTGTTTTTGGCCTCCTCCTCCTCCTGCCTCCACTTCCTCCTCCTCCTCCTCTTCCTCCACCTCCTCCACCTCTTCCCCCTCCTCCTCCTCCTCCTCCTCCTCCTCCTCCTCCTCCCTCGTCCCTCCTCCCCCTCCCGCTCCTCCTCCTCCTCCCCCTCCCGCTCCCCCTCCCTACTCCTCCTCCTCTGCTCCTCCTCCTCCTCCTTCTCATCTTCCCTCTCTTCCTCCTCCTCCTCCTCCTCCTCCTCCTCCTGCTCCTCCTCCTCCCCCTCCTCCTCCTCCTCGTCGTTGTCCTCCTCCTCCTCCCCTCCCCCTTGCCCTTTTTCCTCCTCGTCGTCCCGAGCTATTCGGTGTCAACGTGCCGCTCGTTGGCATATGCTTGTGCAGACCCCTGTCCACCTTCTCACCACTGCAGCGCGTGGTCCCTCTTCGGAGGTCGAGCGGCCTCGGGGTTCCCCCAGCGCGCGGCCCCCTTTGAAGGTTGAGCCGCCTCGGGATGTCGGCCTCTCGAAGGGAGATAATGGGCAGGGGGCGCCGGCTGCTGGGCGCTGCGCTGGGCCCTCGGCTACAACCTGGGTGACGGTGAGTCCCTCCACACGGGAGGCGTGGACCCGTCGGTCGGTGCGTCCCTCTACGTGAAGCATGGGCCCGACTGCCCAGAGGTGGCCAACGCTGCGGGTGACGGAAAGTCCCTCCCTGGGGGAGGCGCGGACCCGTCGGTCGGCAAGTCCCTTTGCGTGAGGCGTGGACCCGACTGCCCAGCAGCGGTGGGCGCTGGGCCGAGGCAGTCGGCATCTCTGCGGCCGCGCAGCTACAAGGGCAATGGCGACACCCTGGCCGTCATGACGGTGAATGTCACGTGCTGGGGCGCCTGCTTGGCACAGCTGGAGCAGGGCAGCGTCGACGACGAGTTACAGGCCATCCTCATCCAGGAGCATCGCCTGTTCGACGACCTACGGCTGGCAGCAGCCGTTTGAGCAGCCAAGCGAGCGGGATGGGTGGCCGACCTCGTCCCCGCGACTGCGACGGACAAATGTGGAGTATCCTGAGGAGTTGGAATTTTGGTGCGCCCGTGGGTGCGCATGAAGCGCGTCGAATTCAGTGAGGACCGCATTTCGATTCGTTGTTCTGCCCGTTTGGGCTTCTGGATGACATCGTTGGGTTCGACTACGGGCACCTTGCTGATATCGGCGTATTTCCACACCAACCAGGACCTGAGCGACTTCAGCCTGGACCTGCTTACCAATGTGGGCTCGGTCGTCAGGGCCATGCACCGCCCCTTTGTCGTGGGGGCAGCCTGGAACATGCTGCCCGAGGTCGTGGGCGAGGCCCACCTGCTCCCCGCGCTTGGCGCGCGCCTGGCCACGTGCATCGCGGCGACATCTGCGAGTGAGCTGGGCTACATCTGCGTGGGCGCGGACACGCCCATCAAGGGCACCAGCCGCTGCGACCGCGTCGATGCGCGGACGCGCCGTGCGGCGCTGCTGCAGCTGGCCTTGCCGAAGCCAGGCGGCTTGGCGACGCGGGCGCACAGGGCCCGAGCTTCCCCAGCCCAGGCCTTGATTGGGCCTTAGCTCCCAGGCCCTGACTGGACCGTCGTCCACGGCGACCTGGCCACGGTGATCACGACAGCAGGCTTGGAGGCAGCCTGTGGCAGGGTCCTGGACACGTACGAAGATGAACTACTGCGTACTGCGGCGCTTCGACTTGGAGGGCGGCCGCGAGGCAAGCAGGTTTTGCGGCAGGAGCGAGGGCCTGCGTCTTGTCCAGACCCAGCTGGACCGCCACCGCTCCAGCAGCTGGCAGTCCACGGCTAGGCCAGACCCCATCGGATGCACATTGGGGCTGGCTGGGCGATCGGGCGCAGGAGTGGCGGCTGCTGCAGGCGGCGGGGCGGGCCGCCCATGCGCGGCGCCTGCAGGTGAAGCTCCTGCGCTTCAAGCCGCCCGTCCCTGGCGGCGAACTTGCGGTCTGGCGCGCCTGGCGGCGGCTGGCGAGGCGTCTACGCCGTCTTCCTAATGATGAGTTGATGGGCTGCTGACCTTGCTTCGACGACAGGCCTTGGCGGCGGCAGGGCGCGCGTCGCGAGGCGTTCCAGGTCTTGGCTCGACTGGGCGCGCGCCGCCGCTGCCGCCGAGGGCATGCGCGGGGCTTTCCGCTGGATCCGCGTGCCCGCCCCGTGGGCAGCTGCCCGTTGGTCGCCTGCGGTGGGCCTGCAGACCGCGCCGGAGGCGGCCGACGCGGCCGTCCGCCCACGGCGCGCCCTGTGGGGGCGAGGGTGCTGGGCTGGGCGTGGTCAGCTGGCCAGTGGAGTTGGGCGACGGCCCTCCGCTGCCGACGCCCGACGAGCTGCGCAAGGTGGGCCGCTCCTTCCCGCGCGTCACGGGGTCGGGAGGTGATGCGTTCCACCCTCGGCGCGTCGCCTTCGTGTCTCACGGCGCGCTGGAGGCCCTCGCCGCCGTCTGGAGGCACGCTGGCGGCGCTGCAGATGGCGCTGATCCCAAAGTCCGAGTCGGGAGTCCGTGGCATCGGGCTCTTCGCCGGAGTGCTGCGCCTTTTCGCGCGCGGGGCGCGCGGCGCAGTCGGCGCACGCTGGGCCGGTGCCCGCCAGCGGGACTACATCTACGGCACGTCGGGTCGCAGCTGCGAGACGTGCGCGTGGGTCCAGGCGGCCGAAGCTGAGGGCGCGGCTCACCGCAAGCTGGCGGCCTGCTCCGTGCTCATGGACCTCTCCCAGGCGTGCGAGCAAATCTCGTGGGCGCTGCCGGTCGTCCGAGCCCGCGCATTTGGCTTCGACGTGATGCTGATGCGGCTGCTCATCAGGCTCTACGCCCTGTCGAGGCTCGTCACCGAGGATGGCGCGGCGATGGGCTGGTGCGTCCCGCGGCGGGGCGCGGTGGCAGGCAGCAGCTTCGCTGACCTCTGCGTGCGCATCTTCCTCGTGCCGCGGCTCGACGAGATAGAGGCCCTCGGCGCCGTGGGCCTGGGGAACACCGCGGGCGACATCCAGCTCGGCAAGGTTGGGCACCCCAGGCTGGTGGCGGCGAGCGTCAGATCGGCCAACAGGCGGATTCGAGGCGCCCTGGCGGCGGACGGGCTTGTCGCCAACGACGGCAGACCCCGGCTGCCGTCGCCGGCCGCCGTCGCGTAGGTTGGAGGCTCGGACCAAGAGTGCGCATGCTTTCTCGACGGTTATAAGATTGATCGCACTAGTATGTGCCTTCGCTCTGCGCTGCACGTTGCTCGCCTCGCGATCGAGGATAGGCTGATGGATCGCGCCCGCCAGAGCCGCCACTACATGTCGAGCCTCTCGCATAGTCCGTACTGGAGCGTGCGGGCCTGACTGGGAAATCCAGCATCAGGCCAGTCTCCGAGCGATTGCAGCGAATGGTATCTGGGATCAGGCTCGCAAGTACAAACACGGTCTGACGACCGATCCGTCGCGCCCCCTGCGTGGCTGTTGTCCTGGCACCCTCGCCGCCTGGATAGCGGGCGAGTGCTCGGCCGCCTGGCAGTATGTGCGGGACTATGACCTCCCCCCTTGTGTCCGTGAGGGCCTCCGTGAGCACCCCGGCTGGGCCCTTTGGAGGCGCGGCCTTCCTTGTCCCCGACCCTAGGCGCCGGGTGATCGGCCCCTCCTCCTCTCTACTCGTCCGCTGGCTCATGCGAGGTCTGCGGCGACGGCTCGTGCGCGTCGCTCGTGCAGGGCGACATGCGCCTCCTACGCGCAGGCTGGTATGTCGTGCAGGTCGACGACAGCGGGGGCCTCGTGGCGCCTCTGCGCGGCCTGCTGCCTGGCCCGCGCCAAGCGTCGGACCTGGCCGGAGCCTATGGCCTGCTCATGTATCTCACGCACGTTTGGCTGGGCCCCTTTCGCTACCATTCGGTAATGACGACGAGGACTCGTGCAGATGACGATGTAGAGAAATAATAAAATTGATATACAAGAAGTCGAAAAGAGGTTGCGCCCAGAATTCGAAAACACCTTGAAAAGATGTCTCGTCCAAAAATAAAAAAAGGTAGTTTCCAAAGCCCGTGTCGCTTAAATTTTCTTGAGAGGTTGGGCAAATGGTTGCGCGGCAGTGCCAGTGGTATGCGGAGCGTGCTTGAGATTCGTGATGGAATCGTCGTTCGGGTTGCGCTCATGATGCACGCGCGCGCTCGCCTGTCTAATGGATGCGATTGGGTTCTTGGGTGCACGCAACGCTCTGCGCGCGCCACTGGGCAGTGCGGGCCTGCGTGCATTGCGAAACAAGAACAACGCGACAGTGGTGGCGATGACCGTATCTGAGTGGACAACTGCGGATTGCAAGATGCTATCAACTACGCGTATGCACCGTTGATAGTGCCATCTCTGTCGCGGTTGTTGCCAAATGTATTGGTCGCGCGCGTGCGTGCGCCAGAGTACGATTGCATCGTGTGCGCTTGAAACGGTCACGCGCAACGGGCGCTCCATTGTGCGCGCCCCCTGTAATGCCGTCGAGCAGTATGGGGGTGGGTGGGGGGGGTGCACGCGCGCTACGAGGGCGTTCCTATGTGCGGTGCAATTCTATACTCGCGCGCCATGGCGCTTGCGTTTTCGCGCTCGGGCATGGGGGTGCGCGCGCCAACCACTCTAGTGGCTAGGCTGCTTCATGCGGGCCATGCGTAGAAGTTGTTGCCTCTTGCTCCCGCGCTACTTATCACCCCGCGCCCCACCTTTTCGCCACCGAGATCCCGCGACCGTGATCAGCGTTAGGTTTTTTTTTTTTTGTTTTTGTTTACAGGCGTGGTTTTAACTAGTATTTTGTTTTGTCGTTCAGTGTAGCTTCGTGATAGGTGTACATGCACCTCATCGTGGTCGTTGGGGGTTTTGCGAACTCTTCGCCCGCGCTGCACATAGCCACCTGCGCCCACTGGCAAACATGTGTGCGACCGTGCCGACCTCCTCCTCCTCCTCCACATACACATCCTCCTCTTCCTCCTCTTCCTTT